GCATGAGGTAATGTGGATGCTCTGAGCTGAAGTGGCATTTAAAGGTTAAATCTCAGTTATAGCATAAAGGCAAGGTCTGGCAATAAGTAAGACTGACGTGTACTTGAAGGTTTACTTCAGGCCATGCTACTCACTGACAAGTGATTTAGGTATACTGTCACTTCTCAAGTAAGACAAGGAGAAAATGTGCCTTTAAAGGCTGAATCCGTTTTATTTCCTTCCAAAGGAAAGCGATTTAAAGCTAAAATATATACAGTTTTATAAACTTATACAGCTCAAAAGTATTCCAAATAGAATCAGCTTTTCTCATAATTGAAAGTTGCATACATGTATAACGCAGAACATGTCAAGTCTGTTTTCATAAGCTCACAAATCTCACCATTGTGAGCTGTTAGGCGGCAAAGGTGTCGCTTCAAAGTGATACATTTATTAACGATGGTGTGTTTTCACGCAGGCTTTAGGGCGATGGCAAATGTCCCGCCGCGTTTCGCTGCAAGCTTGGATATCCCACATCGTATGGACATTGTCGATTTAGAAGCGCGTAAAACATATACGTATGGACACGATCTCAAAGAGATACAGTTAACGACAATTATTCATATCCTTACCAAGTTTTGTAATTGTTTAAGTATGAGAAAAATTGATTTGTACCGATTTACGTTTCATGATAATGTGACATCTAAAAGTATTCAACATAGGCGCTTATTCTACCAGTCCATGGACCTTTCATTCTTGAGTTACACAAAACACCATTAAATTCACAGGGGTAAGAATACTTTAGTTGTTATTAAACTGTATATAGATTTGATGTTTTAATGATTGTTTGTGTCATATCTGTTAATGATAAGATATCACAAATACTTCATGGAGATATCTAGATGTCATGCCGCTTCAATTACATTTCACATTATATAGAAAGTGTATAGAGCCTGAGTGAGTAAATCGAACCATTCTTGTAGACCTGGAAAAAACCACTCAGCTTTGATTAAATTAAATACGATAAAGACAAAGTCATGTCCAGTGAGAGGGGACCCTAAAATGTTGGCTTGACGGCTGAAAAAGAATTCTCAGACGAAGATTAAATATGTTATATTTCTTTCATAAAGTAATAGCTTAGATCACGTCTAGTATGATAACAAGGGTAAGAGTTAGGGGAACTTCGGGAATTTTGGGTATACAACAAAATGGAGATTTTCCCTTCGTGTTACATCTCAAGGGCATTCAAGCATTGCCAATTTATTTCTTATATCATTCGGCGATTCCAACTTTATAAAGAAATCGCATTCTTATTTTCTGTATGATTAAATGAAAATGTGCGTGATCTATTTATCTGATTTTTCCTCTACCATGAATCAAAACCAACTTTTGGTTTGGTTGAGGTTAATTCCCATTTTAAGACCAATGATAAAACTTTGTTGCCAAAACCACGGGAATGCTGCGATACGGAGGCGTAAAATATACCAATCGTCTGCAGAATTGATTATTAGATTATGGAAACGTCCTTCTCTGTCTAAGTTTTGAAAATAAACCTTACAAATATGGAGACTACTGTCTCAAGAGAGAAAAAAAAGAGTACATCACAAAAACGATATATCTATATCATGGATAATAATAATAGTACTCATGATGTTCTTTTATAGCGCATTTATGTGATGACATTTCAATGCGCTTCACTAGTAGCCTAACATATAATATAACAAGATCATAAAAGCAAGAAGAGTAAACAGAAGTATATATAGAAAACAATGAAGTTCTTACAACAACAAAAATAACAATCTTAGTTAATCTTTAGTACTATTGATATGCTAATTTGAAAAGATGAGTTTTTAGTTTAGATATGAATGTTTCAGTATTGGATATACAACGTAGGGAGATGAACTGCACGCACTGATAATACCCGATATATTTCAATGAGAATAGCTGGCAAACAGCTGTTGAACGTGACAAATTTAGCAACAGGCGTTTGCCTTTAAATTCCAAACATACAAACACGAGATGGATAAATAATGAGAGAAGAACGACTGGAATGGTGTTAATTCAGCTCTCGCACGATAACCTCAGCGCGCAAGTGCATGGAATCACAACTTACAATTTGAGTTAAGTTTTACCACAGCAATGAAATACAAGATTACAAATAAAACTGTATTAAAATACCTGTTTGGGTTTCATGTTTGAATATTAAATGTGTTAAATACTGTGAAAAAAGTCAAACCGCCTTTCCATGGGATTGCTTAACACGATTCTGTATGATTCATTTTTGTCACAACGCAATAGAAGATTTTGTTCGTAAAGACATTGTGTAGCAGAAGTTCTCGAGAATCAGTAGAAAGTAAATATTCAAAATAGGCCCAAAAATGTTTTAAAGAGGGAAAGAAAGATTGAATGAAATAAAGAAAGGAAAAGAAAAGCGAAATAAACGAAATCATTGCTTTGAGTTGTACTCTGCATGTCTGTGAATACCATTGTCCCTCGAGGTCTATTTGAACAAGTAAAATCTAGACGTGATAACCTTTCACCAAAAAGTAATTCTGGTTCACCATTTTGGCTAATCCCCAAAGGCATGCAGAAGAAAGGACGAAGGAGTAAGACGATATACAACGGTAAATGGCACATGACAATGGCCTCTTTATCGAGATTAATTTAAAGGTTTTCGGAAACTTACAGAGAAAAACGAAGGGGGGAAGCAATCACAGAATGAGCTTGTGATAAAGAATGAAATAAATAACATTTCACATTTGCATGTGATTTGTCAAAAACATGTGGTTGTGGTAGCTTGTAACAGCCTGTTCGTGGGGGGGGGGGGGGGCTTCTGGTTTTAGATGGGTGATATGCGAGGGGGCAAAGCGACCGTGTACAGATGAGTATATTTTACAAGTTACTATCATCGGAGATGGATGTATTGTTTCATCCTCCTCTTGCCCCTATCTCTCTCCCTCTCTCTCTTTCTCTCTCTCTTTGTCTTCTCTCTCTGCGCACACAACCCACATTCCCACACAAGCATGGTGCCGATATTATATCTAGAGAGAGAGAGAAAAAATTGTTACTCACTCACTACCATCTTCAACATCATCATAAGAATATCATCGTGATTACGATGATGAACTTCAGGATCATCACCATCATACGACGGCATCATCGTAGTTGGTCTTCATCATTACCACCACCACCACCACCACCACCACCACCACCACCACCACCACCACCGCCGCCAGCATCAATAGTAGCCATCACATTAAAACTATTTAACAAAGAATGACCATCGTCGACACGTTAGATTAGAAATCGATGATGGATCGTAATTTTTTAAATGGTTAATAAGATAAAAAAAAAAAAAGTTTTGCGACTTCTGAGAGAGTTGGAGCATCACAACCATGGTTTCAATATTTTTTTAAAAATCCTATTGTTGTAGCAATATTCTTTACTTACCTATACATATTCCAATCAATGTGGATCCATTGAAGTTAAATCCATACATCTTGAAGAAATGGAAAGTATTCTCCAGGTATAGAACATGAATTCACCCGATGAGCGAGTACCCCTTTATGAAGGCTCTCTCTTCCTACAATTTCGGGCAAACACGAGATAAAAACCGTCGATTCGATTCTTCAAAAAAATACGATCACGAAAACATCAAATCTAGAATGTTTCTGCAGATAAGAAATAAGTTTCTAACCACGACTGTCAAATTCTTTCCCCTCTTCAAATCATCTCAGCAGATTTGAACGGGAGGTAGTGGGAGATAACGGCCTTTTGGCGCGAAATGTTTGTCGAAGTGTTCGTTTGATATTGAACTGATAATACTAACACGCACTCTCTTTCTTCCTGATCAAGTAATGTTCACAGGCTGACATTTTGATCTTATCGTTCGACCCTCGACGATCTTTTTTCTCCAAAGAAAATATCAGGCTTGCTAGACAGTAGACGCTAACAATATTTAATCTAATAGAGGGAAAATTGATACAAAATTTCCAGTAGAATAATATTGTATGCGATGCTTGATCAATAATACAGAACGTGGAATAGCAAATCGACGACGCTCAGATTTTTCACTTAATCCTCAATAAATATATGTTGTCAAACTGTTACGAAGTTCCGTAATGAACTTAATCGCGGAGGAGAAGTTCCTTTCTTTAACCATCATAGGTTTACCAATCGGAGAATGTGGTGATGACGAACTCGTGTAAAATAAATCTCTAGAAATATAGACTGAGTCCAAGTTAATCGCTTGCACACAACAGAGCAGACGTCTGCATGGTATATAATGGAAGTTGTGCCTGCGATCTTACGATTAAATGACGGGGTCAATTTGGATCCCGTCCTGATAGCTCCAAATTTCCTTGATTTGTCTTCGCCCCTTGCAAGAGTGTGACTGTGACATGAATGCCCGGGCCTCCGCTCCCAATCATGCAGGCAACCATAGACGATCACATCTCATATTTATGTACGATATGATATCGCGATCAATCAAACGAGATATTTTCCCGCGTCTGGTGAGTGAAAGAAACAACCACTCAACAACAACGCATTGAAAAAGAAAAGAATTTTAAAATCTTGACTATTGAATGCGCAAGATGAAATTCCAAGTCGTCTGTATTTAATAGTTGTTTACCCCTCTCACAAATCAGGAGTATGGCCGGTGAAAAACTATTAAAAAAACAGGCCAATATTTCTCCTCAAGGCTTTCCTAAATCTGACAACTCCAGCCGGTCAATGAAAATAATTGAAGCGTCTTTATCCTCTGAAATTTCAAAACTGAAATCCTTGACCAATGAATGAACGAAATGATTTCCAAATCTGGCTCCGGCTCAAGTCGTCTGTCTCTAATTTCAGACCAAAACGACAGGTCATTTTTGGACGCTTTAAGACTTCCACATCCAGTCTCAGATTGCAATGAACTTGTCACTGAGTTTCAAGCAGACGATGACAGAAGGCCACATACTGGGCTGGCTCTCTTTTTTCCCTCCTTGGAATGACTGAGAGGAAGTCAAAATCTAGCGTACTTTGAAAGGAAGACACGCCACCGGATTCCGGTTCGCAAGCATCCACAGCTCCGGCTGATGGACTGCTGGCCAGCAACCAGACACGGGCGGGTTGGTCTTCTAGAGATTATGAGGGCAGCAGACAAGTATTTACAGCACGAAACTGAAAATAAGGTTCTGTGATTTTTAGGTGTCCAGATTAATATCGATATTCTGTTTTTAAAATAAAATTCTCTTTGAAATTATCCAGAGCATTTATAAGTGCACAAAGAATTGTTTTAACACCAACGCAGAAATGACTGCATCGAAATTGGGGGTGAGGGGAAAGGGGGGGGGGGGGGTTGTGATAGAATTTCAATAGTGTAAAAAGATTTAAGCTAATACAGCTACCCCGGTATCATCATCGTTATCACCATCATCAACATCATCATCATCATCATCATTGCTATGTCATCGTCATTTTCATTAACATCACCATCATCGTCATTAAAGGCGTTTAAAAGAATTGATCGCTTTCTGTCTTCCTTTACGGCTTCTCATATTCTTTTCATCCATTTTTTCCCTAAAAACTTTTAGTCATTCACCCAAACATTTAAATGTTCTTAATTATCTTCATAAAAAATCCACAAACCATGACAATTCAATCAATACAAAAATTAATTCAAGTTCATTTCAGTGTTCAAACCGATCTAAGTATCGAAATCCACCTATTTGATTTGCCATAATTATGTGTCTTGACGAAAGTAATGTTAGCATAAATCTTGATACATGTAAAATTATTTTGGTTAGGGGCTCACCGACATTTTTGAAGACCGCATGCTCGGATACGAAGCAACCACTGGTTGTCTGTGGGAATATTTTTCAGAGTCTTTTGGGAAAAGTGGTGAGATTTAAATGATAATCGTGGCAACAAAGTAATATTTAAAACCTGTTTACGAACAAGGAATGGAAATTGGGAAATCATTATGAAACGCCATAATGTCATAAACAAACACTTCCCCTACAGACAATGTCTTTTGAGAGAAAATGAAGCAGATAAGATTCGGACAACATCATAACGAGACCCGGGAAATGATGAGACAAGGATGTCGGTAATAACCGAGATAACTTGAGGATGTCGTGTAATATCATCCAGGTATATCATGGTATGGGAAAGAATGATTAATTATTCGCAGATCGAGGTAGCGAAACAACCACCCCTAGCCCATTAACAAACAAAAAATACCTCCAAACGGCAAGGGCTGAAATATTATTATCTGTGAGAAAACTCACGTAGCCCCTCTTTTTCAGAGCTTTAGGTTCTATTGAAGGAAATGCCCAATATAATGATCCCCAGGACAATTTTTCATGTCGGGATTTCCTTCTATTATGTCTAGTGCTTCTACCCCCCCCCCACACACACACACGCACACACGCATATGCACACACACAACAAGGATAGATGGAGTAGAGATGTAGGTATACTATGTGAGGTATGTATAGGTGCAGAAAAGAATATGGAGGAGAAAGTACATGTGGATCAGAAAGAGAGAGGAAAGGAAAGAAAAGGTATATCAGAGTGATGGGGGAAGAGAGAATACTAGTCGGAGAGGTACAAAGGGAGAAAGAGAGATGGAAGAAAAGTACATGTAGATTGAAGGCAGCATCTTAAAGGAGAAATCCACCCTGATATTATGCTGTTATTTATAGAAGCAGACCACGAGAGAAGACAGGTTTTCTTTTTTTTTTATATTCTTTATTGATTACATTCAATGCACAAATCATACATAAACAATTTATTTTTAATACATAAGCATGAATCGGTTAGAACAGAAATAAAAATAATTCTTATAACCTTTATAAACAACCCACCTTGGATATATACACTGAGAACCAGTTGGGAAGGAAACAAATCTTTGAATAGAATCTATCATAATTTCAACACCCCCATTGAGATGCGGTTATCACTACACCCCCCCCCCTTTGAAAAAGAGAAGAAAAGAATAACAGATTTAGTTTTAAAAAGGGGAGAAGCAAAAATAAATCATTAGACCGTGCAATCTCTGATCCCATGATGATATATTCTAACATTGTGTTTAAAAGCTCCATTTCACCCATGATAATTGACTTGTTTTCTTTAACAAAAACATATAAAGTAACAAAAAATTCCCATCGAGATGCAGATATCACCCCCCCCCCCTATTAAAAAAATAACACAAGATTTATTTTTTTTAAAGGAGGGGGGAGGATTGTTCCCGAAGCTAGACCGTTTATTCATGGAATTTCTTCGATGTCTTCTTCTTACAAACATAATCTGGGTGTCATCTTTTAAAGATGGGGAAATATTAAAATGATGTTTTCTCCAATTACATCCTGGTTTTGCCAGAGGTATATGTTAATTGTTAAATATTCTCATTTCTACAATTTATCATATGATAAACATAATCCTATCTTACCCTAGTCTCTTTCTATACCGTTATAACATGCAGATAAAGATATTCCAAATTCCACGTCACAAGTCGATAGTCTGTATAGATTTAATTGAATTGAATCGAATTTAACTAAACTGAATTAAATTGAATTTAAGCGGTAATTATTAAGAAGACAACTGCCGCATTTACGTGAAATATATTCAAAGTGAAGTTACTAATTATAACAGAACTGCAGTACTAGTAAACTTTAACATAATGTATCAATATATTTCTACGTTACTTAGGACGTTTTTTTTAAACTTTTTTTAGTCAAGGAAACAAAACTTCCGATGGTTGAAATAGGCCTCATTTTTGTTAATACATTGTTCTTCTTCACATCATATCGAACTAATCTGTCATGTTATCAGTTTCTAGAGCATTCAATTTAATTGCTTTCCAGACAGGGTGCAAAATGAACAAAAAGGATTTTTTTTTTTTTTTTTTTTTTTTTTTTTAATGGAATGCAGCAATATTTACATCATGGTCCTGTAAGACCAAATTTGACTTGATGCATTAGTCAAGTTTAATGTAGCATAACTCCGAAGAGTAAAATAATATCATAAAATGAAACCAAAGCAGTCATACATATAATTTGACAGGATAATCAATGAAAGCTGGAAAGCTTTTTTTTATAATGAGGGTCTATTTCCAAAGTCAGTATTCATCTAAAGGTAAAAAGCAATTACATTAAAAATCAAGAAATATAATCACAAATAAAATAAATGTTTAAATACTTTAAGAATAACAACATAAGGTAAATATCATTTTTAAGAAGCTAATCAATATTTTATTGAAAAATACTTGCTCTGAGCTACGATATTAAGTCAGTATGTGCTTTTTCAAATACACAACAAATGATTTATCAATCAAAGAATATAGCAACGAATACTGACATACTAAAGAGATTCACCTTGCACTCATTAGAATAAATCGCAAAAACGATAAGTCAAGTCAAAATTAACTTTCGACCGTGTGTCTGTAACTCTGTATTCGATATTAATCTATAATAATAATAGTTCGTTCTTTTATAGCGCATTTCAGGACCGAAGGCCCTCTCAAAGCGCTTTACAATATACAATGTACGTTCACATTACTCGTAGCATTCATAAAAAAGAAATGAGTTTTCAGCGCTCTCTTAAAAGCTTCAACATCAGTCATGGAGCGTAGCGACACTGGGAGAGCGTTCCAAAGTTTTGGTCCACCACATGCAAATACCCTGTCACCATAGGTTTTTGTGGCTCCACGATTGAGGGTGAGAAGGTGTTGGGAAGATGACCGCAAACGCCTTGGTGGGATGTACGGTGTGAGCAAATCTGAGATGTACTCTGGACACATGCCATGGAGAGCTTTGAAGACGATTGGAATGACCTTGTAGCGGATCTGTAACTAAACTGGCAACCAGTGTAGATCTCTCAAGATAGGTGTTATGTGTTGAGACCTCTTCACTCTCGACACTAAACGAGCTGCAGAGTTCTGAGTCATCATCATCATCATCATCATGATACGAGGAGAGGTAGATCCTGTAATCCTCGGTCACTTCTTCAGGGTTGGTTATGTTCTAGAGGTTAACTCATTGCACATGCGCAGGTTTAGGACGGTTTTGATCATATCATTAACTTAATTCAAATCGCTCAGACCACCAGTGCTTATCCAGTCTCATCTTGAAGATATCAATGGAGTTTGAGTCAATTATTTCTTGAGGGAGACTATTCCAGTCGGACACCACTCTGTTGCTGAAAAAGCATTTCCTTATGTTTAGACGAGACCTTTCCTTGAAAATCTTTAGAGAGTGTCCTCGGGTTTGAGTATTCAGTGATAAGGTGAAGAAGTGACTTGGGTCCAGCTTTACTAAGCCCTTTAGTATTTTGAAAACTGTAATGGCATCGCCTCTCCGTCTCCTATAGTACAAGGAGTGTAGGTCTAAAATCTTTAGCCTGTCTGTGTAGGGAAGTTCTCTCGTCTCTGGCATCATCTTTGTTGCTCTCCTCTGGACCCTTTCAACTTTGTAGCCATCTTCCTTCCAGCGTGAGTGCCATAGGATGTTACCATATTCCAAGTGTGGTCTTACTAATGTCTTGAATAGGAGGGGTAGAGTCTTAGTGTCCAGCCTGGTGAAGGTACGTCGTATTATTCCGAGGAGTTGGTATGCTTTGTTTACTGCCATAGATACATGTTCATGGAACTTAAGTTCGACATCTACTTGTACACCCAGGTCTTTTTCAAGAGTGGATATCTTGACTTCTTCTCCTTTCATGTGGTAATTGTCCTTTCTGTTGTTTCTACCCAGGTGAATAACTGCACACTTGCTTTGGTTGAAGGGTAGTTGCCACTTCTCAGCCCACAAGGTGAGATTTGTCAGGTCCGTCTGTAGTGATGAGGAGTCTACCTGATTTCCTACTTCTCTGTATAATTTGGTGTCATCAGCAAAGAGTAGAATCTTGGAGGTAACTTCGTTGGGCAAGTCATTTATGAAGATGACAAACAGAATAGGCCCAAGAATGCTCCCTTGCGGAATTCCGCTCTTCACCGCAGTCCATGTAGATGTCACTCCATTCATAGCTACTCTCTGCTTTCTACCTTTGAGGAAGGCTTCAATCCAGGAAAGTAGTGGATTCACAATTCCATGAGCTTCCAGCTTAAGAAGTAGTCTTTCATGCGGAACTGCATCAAACGCCTTTCTGAAATCAAGATATAAAATGTCGATAGGCCGATTGTCGTCAAGTATCTTAGACCAATCCTCCATTGCCCACAGAAGTTGTGTCATACATGATCTCCCATTCACAAAGCCGTGCTGACATTCCGAGAGGAGTTCGTTTATATCAAAGTATTTCATCAAGGCATCTCTAATAATACTTTCGAGCATTTTTCCAATGACTGATGTTAGAGTAACTGGTCTGTAGTTCTCTACTGCCTTCCTGCTTCCTTTCTTATAGATTGGAGTAACGTTTCCTTGCTTCCAGTCTTCCGGAAGTGATTTCTCCTCCAGTGACCTGTTGAATCCTCTGCAACTTTACCTAGTTCTCTCTCTGGAGCTCCCAGAAGAAGGCAGTTGCAGCTTTCAAGCAAAGATGTTACAAAGGCGTGGACCAATATCTCAGTTGTCCTGCTATTGAGATAATGGCGGACACGACCTATTCTTTTGAGGGCCAAAGATGCTTTCTTGCAAGTATTGTTGACATGCTGCTGCATAGTCAAGGGACAGTCAAGGATTACACCAAGATGACGTAGAGATATGATTTGCAGTACCAATTATCATAGTGAAAAAAAATATTCTATGCAAGAAGCATATTTTCATAATATTTACATACAATTTCGAGAGAGGAACTATTTTGGATAATGACAACTTTATACAAGTGATAATAATCTTTCGAGAGAATAGGCATCTTCTCATGCATTTTGTTATCGCATAATAAACAATATATGCCCTATTACTGACCCATATTAGAGGAGGGCTACAAATTAACGGTAATATAGAGTGTGAGATGGATTACAGTGATACTTTGATGAAATACAACTTCTTGTAACAAGCAAACGCGAGCATGTCTGGAGAGAGGGAAGCCAAGTAACACCAACTATTTTTAAGCGTCAGATTAATTACATTGAACTCAACTCTCTCCTTCAGGTTCAGACCATCAAGGTCATAGAGCCTGATCACCACGATACCATTCTCTTTATCAACACTCGCTACATACACCTTGTCCTGCTCATCAACGGCAGCATACAGGTAGACACCGTTTGGAGCTTGTAGAGACTTACCAGCATTCCCGTCCCTGTCATAGACCGTCACCACGCTTGGATTGGTGCAACATGAACTCGTGACGATCAAACCCGACATGGTAGCAGATACCTGCCTTGTCTGGTTGTGTTTTGTTGGAACCGTGTGTTTGAGAGCAGATCCAGTCGGGTCATATATAGAGACTTGCTTCTCATTGTTAACGATAAGGATTTCATCTGATGGACTTCTGTTTAGTTTGAGAGTAGAGTCACTTTTATGCACGTGGATGGTTGATTTACTTGATCCATTGGGAGAACAAATGTGTGCTTCTTTTGTACCCGTCGATATGCACAACGACCTGTCTTGTTGAAACACAAGATCACGACACTCCATGTTACTTGGTATGTTTGCATACTGGTGCTTTTTACCAGCCGAATCAATGATATCTATACCATGTTCAACCAAATATCCGATAGCCACACTATCATCACAGTACTGGGTCATTCCATACATCCATCCCCGTATGTCTACACACTTAATAACTTGCAACTTGGGATCTGATTCTGAGATGCTACCGAGTTCAATACGACTATTATCTGCAGGCTTGAACCTCTTCAATTGTGCTTTCTTCGTAATGGCTGCCGCAGAAGTGTGATCAGTAGCCTCCTTCAGCATGGCATCCAGCTCCTCACAGAGCAAGGTATGAGCAGACAGACTGTCTGTCTCAAGACGACCCAGTCTGTCATTAGATACCAGTGTTATTGAACTACAAATACTCTTAATCCTCTGTCGATTCTTAGATTTTAAGACGTTGAGGTCGTCATGGAAACTCCGCTTTACTGCATTGATTTGCTCGATGAGAATTTGATGATTTTCTTCAAGCTCTTTGGCCTTGATGCTGTAGGCTTGACTGACATCGTCCAGTAGTTTCTGCACGGCAGTATATACTTCATGGCGTTGTACTTCCACATTCTGAATGTTCTTCTCCAGTTCTGATTTCTTAGCGGTACAACGCTGGACAAGGTCGTTCACCTAAACAAAACGAATAGTATAGAAGTGACAAGAACATTTTTTAAGAATGAGATGTATGCAAATTAAATAGAGCTGGTTTATAAAACACCAAAATTTGGACGCACCTGATGTTTTTACAAAAGTAAGAAACTCGACCCCCTACCATTATGAGGACCGAGGAATTGAATACATCGTCTTCTACGTCCTTAAAGGGCAATCCCTTAAAGTCCGATTAATCCATGTTGCATATTAATTTTTTGTACATCAATGGACCAAAGTTGTGTCTTGTAAAAGAAACAAAATGAAGCCGCCAATTTGATAGAAAGAATCCTGTGCTTTGACGCTTTAAAGTGTGCGTTTATGAAATCAACGTGCGTGGGAAGCTAGGAACGAAACGACCGCGAGAGATGGTTACACCAGGGATATGAGAGTTTATCTCCCTGGTTACACTGTGAAATTATTGAAATCATAAGTTTTTGTCTGGCAATCGAGACGGGAAACATGAATTTCCCCCAATTTGTTGTTTGTAAAGAGATTTGGCCTTGTTAGGTCAAATAACAATAGTAAATAGTAATGCCCTGCCTCCTTCATTTTTTAAAAGTCTGGACGAGAAACACAATATTTTTGTTATTTGGCCTTAGGGGGAGGAGGCCGAAACGATTTCGCCCCCCCCCCCCCCCCGAAATAGGGAAACATCTGTCGTATACCACGTAATGCTTATGGTAGCCAAATGAAAGCGCTTTTTGTCAGCTGAACACACTAACCTTAACCCGTAGCTCCTGCTCAAAGTCGGCCTGATTCTTGATTTTGTGATTTTGATGACCAACTATCACGCACTTGTGACAGACGTGGACCTTACAATCATCACAAAACATATCTTTGTTCTCTTGTTTGTGGATGCAGCACTTCTCGGATAGTTGACCAATGCTAACCTTCCCGTTGATGATATCCTGTATGGATACAATCTCGTGACCTTCAAAGAAGACTGTAAGACGTTGATGACAATCCAGGCACCCATCACACATGTAGTTATTACATGTTCTGCAGAATGAGACGGCATCTTGCTGAAACTTGCAAGCAGTGCATTTTGGACGCATCTCAAGGACAGCGTTCATCCCTCCACATTTGGCGTGGTAATCGTCTACCAGTCCATTGACAGTCACACTGGTGAGGAAATCATCGACACGGTTCACAGACAACTTGGTGATCTTCCTGCAGAGCGGACAGATCATGTGATCGAGATCCTGGTGGGAAAGGTCATAGTTCTTGAGGCATTTCCGACAGAAGGTGTGTCCGCATGAAGTCAGGATGGTTGCTTCGTCGAAGATATCAAGACATAGTGGACACGTCAGGTTCTCTGAAGAGCTTGAAGCTTTCTCTTCCTTGGTCTTCTCAGCCATGGTGCAAATATCGGATTTCTGGCTTATTACAAACACAAGCTCATTCTTCGCCTATATCCATTTGATGTGCAATAAAACTTAAAAGTTTGATCAGCTGATGTGTATACTAGAAGTCAACCGTCAGTTCATGCCAGCACAAATTATAATGCAGTGACGTCGTAGAATTTACCAATATCCTGAGTCTACGTAACAAGTGTGTCCTTCCCGGGGTCCTTACTGCATGCAGTTCTATACCAATTTATCACGTTTTGATTACATTGTGTGTCGAAAGAAATGGAAATAATTTTGATCAAAAGTACCGAGTCTCTATTCAAGTACGTGTATACATCAATACAAATGTGATTACAATGCTAAACCCACTCTTGAGTAGATCGTATATGAATATAAAGCAGCTTGTGCATCTAAGTGGGTTTTCCCCACAGAAATAATAAGCACCTTTGAACTTTATGGCGGTGTTCAATATTTGTATCTATAGAGGGCGACCAATTTATGCTTTCAATATAGTCCCTTTATGACACTAGCTTTAAGCTGGATAAAATATAATGTTGGAGATCCACTCTAGTACACGTAGGCAGAAAACCTTATGTATTCTTTCATCAATATTCATCAATATTTAAAAATTAAAACATGTACGTGGATGTGTGTGTGTGTGTGTGTGTGTGAGAGAGAGAGAGAGAGAGAGAGGAAGAGAGAAATAAATTAATAAAGATAGAAGCATAATTATCCGACAGAATGATGATGAGAGAAAATCGTAAGGTGATTTCATCATGGACCCATGTTGAAGCTAGGTTCATCCAAACTTATTTCTGGTGCAATACGGGCTATAGTGACATGTTTAATTTGATATAATTTTTCTCATTATAACTATAAGCTCTTGAAACAGACAAGATTCACATTATAATGGTCATAAGCCTAAATCATGAGATTTTTTTTTTATATAAGAGAGGAAGTGGTGAAATATTTTTGTCATTCAAATTATACATTGTTAGGAAGGTTGTAGCAATCTATACGCAATAATTTTGTATAGTGACGGAGAAAGATATCTAGAAGAAGAGAAGTGGAAGGAGATAAATGAAGAATAGTGGAGAAAGAAGGGATGAAATATAAGTTTAGTCCAGATCCTTTACCCTTCCAAACATAGGAATGGAGAACTAACAATTGCTCTATTATCCAGGATTCTGTACAACAGAAAACTCCAATTATGTATTCTTTTATCAATGTTTGTCTTCAAACACATTTCTTTTTGGAAAATCTTTGTAGAAGTGTGTCTTAAAATAGACATCCTCTTTCACATTATGATACGATTTAAATGAAATTTTGCCATCAAATCTTTGGCGAATTTGGGGCTCTTTAAATGGGTTTTAAGTCTTATTTTTTCACCACGTTATAATTTTTTTTCTTCGGGTCTTCAAAAGTCTGATCAGATAATCCATTATGTGGTTTCATGATTAATTTTTCATCATCAGAGTCCAAACACTCTTCCTTATTGCTCTAAAAAGGAGAAACTACTAGCAGACAACATCTATACTGAGTGCCAGAAAACCGTTAATTCATATATTTTTCTACGTTAATTCAAAGTTAACGCCTTTCTGACTCTTAAATTACTGTGGGTCTCCCCTCAATTAATTGCTGGCGATTCTTATTTCACGATTCGTTGATGGAGAGGGAGGAGGGGAATGAATTAGTGAAATGTACTTATAACTTATAAATAGATCGAGATTTGAAACGGTTGATATCGAGAGTCAATATCAACACTATAATATTTCCTGACATGAATTTTGAACCAGGAAAATAAATGAACAAAGGAAGTGGGAGAGGGATAATATGGGGGTTAATAAAGAAAGTTAAAGAAGTAAATTACAGAAGGTAGCGAAGAGAATGAGTAGTATAGATAGAAGAAAAAACAGTCCTGGAATATAAAGAATTAGACAAGATCAAATTTCTTTCAGCAAAATAGATTTATCTTGAGCTTCGATAACAATGTGTGAAATCTGATAAGTTTATTAATAAGATTTAGTGGTTAAGCAATGGCCTCGTAACTGTGAGGCCCCAGAATAAAAACCGTGACGATCAGCTATATAAGTGCCCTTTTGTGGGGCATTAATCCTCATTACTGTCAGTTATGACTTAAGGACGTAGGTCCCCTAGTTGATTAGCATAGTAGCACACACATGCTTTAGCAGTCACGCAAAACAAACACTCGCAAATTATTATTCAATAAAATATGAGAATGTATACTATTATCTAGATCTATTAGGAATAAATCATGGTCAAAATCATCCCATAAATTGGGGTAAAAAAATTATTCCACCATTATGACCAAACAGACCAACAGTGTAGAAGCAGACCATGAGAGAGACAGGTTTTCTTTTTTATATTCTTTATTGATTCCATTCAATGCATAGATCATACATAAACAATTCATTTTGAATACATAAGCATGAATCGGTTAGAAAAGAAATAAAATAATTGCATGTTTATCTCCGCTAAGACAATTCTCATTACCTTTATAAACAACCCACCTTGGATATATACACTGAGAGCCAGTTGGGAAGGAAGCAAATCTTTGAATAAAATCTATTACAATTTCAACACCTCCATCGAGATACGATTATCACTACATCCCCCCCCCCCCCCTCTTCGAAAAAGAGAAGAAAAGAATAATAGATTTATAATTAAAAAAATGGAGATGCAAAGATAAATCATAAGACCATGCCACCTCTGATCCAATGATGATATATTCTAACATTGTGTTAAAGATGAAGTTGAGTTCTGGGATGCGATTGCATTGTGAAAGAAACGGTGTGTAATCGACCAGAAGAGGTTGATCATCTAGCATATAAGAATTTGTGTGTATTGCAAGGTTCTGGAATCATCAAAATGATAAAAAATTTGGCCAAGTCTTGGTACAGTTACAAACACTGTACACGGAAAGATATATATGGGACTACACGAACACGTGGCGTAAAAATCCTACCCCCGAGTTTTACGATGTTACATGACATATTTAGAATATAAAGGCATTTGAAGAGCCATGCTTTTCAGGGAACATGTCTTATATGATGTTCTTCCACACTTGCATAATAAGAATGATAACGCTCACAAATTATTTTTCACCTCTTCCCAGAACTCAACCTTCTCATTGAGCTCCATTTCACCCATAATAATTGACTTTTTTTCTTCAACAAAAACGTACAAAGTAACAAAATTTTCCATCGAGATGCAGATATCACCCCCCCCCCCCCCCTATTAAAAAAATAACACAAGATTTATTTTTTTTAAAGGAGGGGGGAGGATTGTTCCCGAAGCTAGACCGTTTATTCATGGAATTTCTTCGATGTCTTCTTCTTACAAACATAATCTGGGTGTCATCTTTTAAAGATGGGGAAATATTAAAATGATGTTTTCTCCAATTACATCCTGGTTTTGCCAGAGGTATATGTTAATTGTTAAATATTTTCATAATTTCTACAATTTATCATATGATAAACATGATCCTATCTTACCCTATTCTCTTTCTATACCGTTATAAATTGCAGATAAAGATATTCCAAATTCCACGTCACAAGTCGATAGTCTGTATAGATTTAATTGAATTGAATCGAATTTAACTAAACTGAATTAAATTGAATTTAAGCGGTAATTATTAAGAAGACAACAGCCGCATTTACTTGAAATATATTCAAAGTGAAGTTATTAATTATAACAGAACTGCAGTATTAGTAAACGTTAACATAATGTATCAATATATTGTTACGTCACTTAGGATGTTTTTTAAAACTTTTTTTTAGTCAAGGAAACAAAACTTCCAACGGTTGAAATAGGCTTCATTTTTGTTAATACATTGTTCTTCTTCACATCATATCAAACTAATCTGTCATGTTATCAGTTTCTAGAGCATTCAATTTAATGGCTTTCCAGACAGGGTGCAAAATGAACAAAAAGGATTTTTTTTTTTTTTTTTTTTTTTTAATTTTGTTTGTTAATGGAATGCAGCAATATTTACATCATGGTCCTGTAAGGCTTTTAAACAAATTTGGCTTGATGCATAGGTCAAGTTCAATATTGCATAACTACGAAGAGTAAAATGATATCATAAAATGAAACCAAAACAGTCATACAAATAATTTGACAGGATGACCCATGAGAGCTGGAAAGTTTTTTATAATGGGGGCCTATTTCCAAAGTCAGTATGAATTATTATTCATCTAAAGATAAAAAGCAATTACATTAAATATCAAGAAATATAATCACAAACAAAATAAACGTTTAAATACTTTGAGAATAACAACATAAGGGAAATATCACTTTTAAGAAGTTAATCAATATTTTATCAATTCACCTGCTTCTATTTCTTGCATCTCAAATGATAGGTACCTCTTAGATTCAACTTCAAAGTCTCTAAAGTTTTTGAATTGCTTTAAAGTAGCATCCAATTATGCTACAATGAAACAAAAGGAAAACAGAAGGAAATATTCATATCAGACGTTTGACAAATACTTTTTGCTCTTAGGAACGATATTTAGTAAGTATGTGTTTTGTCACACACACAAACAAATGATATTTCAATCGAAGAATATAGCAACGAATACTGACATACTAAAGAGATTTATCTTGGAAGAAAAAAAGCGCTCAGTCAAGTAAAAATTAACTTTCAACCGTGTGTCTGTAACTCTGTATTCGATATTAATCTATATGATTTGCAGTACCAATTATCTCTTTAAATATCATAGTGAAAAAGATATACTATGCAAGAAGCATATTTATATTGTATGTATTTATATAAAATTTCGAGAGAGAAACTTTATCATTATTTTAGATAATGACAACTTTATACAAGCGATTATAATCTTTCGAGAGAATAGGCATCGTCTCATTCGGTTAGTTATCACATAATAAAACAATATAGAATGACACATTATAGGCCGATATTAGAGAAGGGCTGGAGCAGAGAGTCAGATAGTGAGGTATACACACCAACAATAATGGTAATATAGAGTGTGACATGTATTACAGTGATACTTTGATAAAATACAACTTGTACCTACAAGCAAACGCGAGCATGTCTGGAGAGAGGGAAACCAGGTAACACCAATTAAAACCAAGCTTCAGACTAAGTACATTGAACTCAACTCTCTCCTTCAGGTTCAGACCATCAAGGTCATACAGCCTGATCACCACGTTACCCTTCTTACTATCAACACTCGCTACATACACATTGTCGTGCTCATCCATGGCAGCATACAGGAGGACACCGTTTGGAGCTTGTAGAGTCTTACCAGCATTCCCATCCCTGTCATAGACCGTCACCACGCTTGGTTTAGTGTTACATGAACTCGTGACGATCAAACCCGACCTGGTAGCAGATACCTGCCTTGTCTGGTTGTGTTTTGTTGGAACCGTGTGTTTGAGAGTGGATCCAGTCGGGTCATATATAGAGACTTGCTTCTCATTGGTAACGATAAGGATTTCATCTGATGGACTTCTGTTTAGTTTGAGAGTAGAGCCACTTTTATGCACGTGGATGGTTGATTTACTTGATCCATTGGGAGAAAAAATGTGTGCTTCTGTGTAACTCGTCGATATGCACAACGACCTGTCTTGTTGAAACACAAGATCAAAATACTTCATTTTACTTGGTATGTTGGCATACTGGTGCTTTTTACCACCTGAATCAATTATATCTATACCATCTGTACCATTATATCCGATAGCCACACTATCATCAGAGTACTGGGTCATTCCCCACATGAATCCCCGTAGATCTACACACTGAATGACTTGTACCCTGGGATCTGATTCTGAGATGCTACCGAGTTCAAGACGAGTATCATCTGCAGGCTTGAACCTCTTCAATTGTGCTTTCTTCGTAATGGCTGCCGCAGAAGTGTGATCAATAGCCTCCTTCAGCATGGCATCCAGCTCATCACAGAGCAAGGTATGAGCAGACAGACTGTCTGTCTCAAGACGACCCAGTCTGTCATTAGATACCAGTGTTATTGAACTACAAATACTCTTAATCCTCTGTCGATTCTTAGATTTCAAGACGTTGAGGTCGTCATGGAAACTCCGCTTTACTGCATTGATTTGCTCGATGAGATTTCGATGATTTTCTTCAAGCTCTTTGGCCTTGATGCTGTAGGCTTGACTGACATCGTCCAGTAGTTTCTGCACGGCAGTATATACTTCATGGCGTTGTACTTCCACATTCTGAATGTTCTTCTCCAGTTCTGATTTCTTAGCGGCACAACGCTGGACAAGGTCGTTCACCTAAACAAAACGAATTGTAGAGAAGTGACAAGAACATGTTTTTAGAATGAGGTGTATGCCAATGAAATGGAGCTGGTTTAAAAATCGAACACCAAAATTTGGACGCACCTGATGTTTCACAAAAGTTAGAAACTCGACCCCTTCTAGCATTATCATATGAGAACCGAGGAATTGAATACATCGTCTTCTAGCTACTTCCCATGAAGTCCGATCAATCCATGTAGCATATTAAATTTTGTATCTTTATCTTTGTAGATCAATGAACCAAAGTTGTGTCTTGTAATGGAAAAAAATGAAGACGCCCATTAAATGGAGAGAATCCTGTGTTTCCACGCTTTAAAGTGTGCGTTTATGAAATCAATGTGCGTGGGAAGCTAGGAACGAAACGACCGCGAGAGATGGTTACACCAGGTATATGAGAGTTTATCTCCCTGGTTACACTGTGAAATTATTGAAATCATAAGTTTTTGTCTGGCAATGGATACGGGAACATGAATTTCCCTCAATTGTTTGTAAAGAGATTTTGCCTTGTTAGGCCAAATAACAATAGTACAATAGTAATACCCTGCCTCCTTCGTTTTGTTTTAAAGTCTGGACGAAACACACGTTATTTGTGTAATTTGGCCTTAGGGGGAGGAGGCAGAAACGATTTCGACCCCCCCCCCCCCCCCGATAGAGGGAAACATCTGTCCTATGCTTATAGTAGCCAAATGGAAGCGCTTTTTGTCAGCTGAACACACTAACCTTAACCCGTAGCTCCTGCTCGAAGTCGGTCTGATTCTTGATGTTATGATTTTGATGACCGACGATCACGCACTTGTGACAGACATGGACCTTACAATCCTCACAAAACATATCTGTGTTCTCTTGTTTGTGGATGCAGCACTTCTCGGGTAGATGACCAATGCTGACCTTCCCGTTGATGATATCCTGTATGGATACAATCTCGTGTCCTTCAAAGAAGACTGTAAGACGTTGATGACAATCCAGGCACCCATCACACATGTAGTTGTTACATGTTCTGCAGAATGAGGCGGCATCTTGCTGAAACTTGCAAGCAGTGCATTGTGGACGCATCTCAAGGACAGCGTTCATCCCTCCACATTTGGCATGGTAATCGTCTACGAGTCCGTTGACAGTCACATTGGTGAGGAAATCATCGACACGGTTCACAGACAACTTGGTGATCTTCCTGCAGAGCGGACAGATCATGTGATCGAGATCCTGGTGGGAAAGATCATAGTTCTTGAGACATTTCCGACAGAAGGTGTGTCCGCATGAAGTCAGGATGGTTGCTTCGTCGAAGATATCAAGACATAGTGGACACGTCAGGTTCTCTGAAGAGCTTGAAGCTTTCTCTTCCTTGGTCTTCTCAGCCATTGGTGCAAATATCGGATTTCTTGCTTATTACAAACACGAGCCCATTCTACTGCGCCTATACCCAATTGATGTCCATGCAATAAAACTTAAAAGAGTGATCAGCTGATGTGTACTAGAAGCCAATGGCCAGTTCATGCAAGTTCAAACTATATGCAGTGACGTGGTAGAATTTAGCAATATCCTGAGTCTACGTAACAAGTTTTCATTACCCGGGGTCCTTATACTGCATGCAGTTCTACATTACGTGTCGAAAGAAGTGCAAATAATTTTGATCAAAAGTTCTGAGTGTATACATCCAGGACTGTATACATCAATACAACTTCGATTACAATGCTAGATTCACACTTGAGTAGTTCGTATATGAAAATAATGCAGTCTGTGCATCTAATGTAAATAGGAGTGGGCATTCCCCACAGAACTGTACAATGATTAAGCACCTTTGAACTTTATGGCGGTCTTCATCATTTGTATCTATAGAGGGCGACTTATTTAGGCTTTCAGTGTGGTGGATATTATGTTGGAGATCCACTCTAGCATTCGCAGAAACCTTAAATTCTGTATTCTTTCATCAATATTCGACTTCAAACACATTTGTTTTTGAAAATCCTTGCATTGATGTATCTTTAAATGACATACTCTTTCACATTATGATACAATTTGAGTGAGAATTCACATCAAATTTGTGGGGCTCCCAACACTTTAAGGGGGCGTTAATTTCAGAGATGATCACTCAAACAAAAATGACAATAGAGGTACACATACCGACATATTCTGTGGACAAATTTACATGTAGATTCTGGACGCTCGACTATTTTCTATATTCCAATTCTATTCCTATTTTCCCCGCAAAGTCCGATCCCGATTGTTTTTACAGCCACCCCATATCTTGGTAAAAAATTAACAACCCATTCTTTTCTAAATACAGACTGAAAAATTACTAAAACAGAGGTAGTTTTTCACTCGCTCTTTTATTGTGTATGTGTGTGTGTGTGTGTGTGTGTGGTGTGCGTGTGTGTGTATGAGAGAGAGGGGGGAGAGAGAAATAAATTAATAAAGATAGAAACTTTATATCCGACAGAATGATGATGAGGGAAAATCGTTTGGTTATTTCATGCATGGACCCATGTTGTTGCTAGGTTCATCCAAAATTATTTCCGGTGCAAGTACGGGCTATAGTGACATGTTTAATTTAATATAATTTTTCTCATTATAAGCTCTTGAAACAGACATGATTCACATTATAATGGTCATAAGCCTAAATCATGAGATTTGTTTGTATTATAAGAGAGGAAGTTGTGAAATATGTTTGTCATTCAAATTATACATTGTTAGGAAGGTTGTAGCCTCGTAACAATCTACGCAATAATTTTGTATTGAATGAAAAAGATATCTAGAGTAGAAAGAGAGAAGTAGAAGAAGATAAATGAAGAATAGTGGAGAAAAAAGGTTAACATATAAGTGTAGTCCAGATCCTTTACCCTTCCAAACATAGGAATGAAGATCTAACATCCAGGATTCTGTATAACAGAAAACCCAAATCATGTATTCTTTTATCAATATTTTTCTTGAAACACATTTCTTTTTGGAAAATCTTTGTAGAAGTGTGTCTTAAAATAGACATCCTCTTTCACATTATGATACGATTTAAATAAAATTTTGCCATCAAATTTTTGGCGAATTTGGGGCTCTTTAAATGGGCTTTAAGTCTTATTTTTGAAGGTACAATAAATTCAACATAAATTGGCATCTCTGTGATGTGTCTTGTGAGCTCCTCTCCCATTTGTCATGTACTAAACAAAATTTAAAAATCCATATTTCCCCTTAGAAAATTTTGAATCATAATTAGATTCACCCTCAATATGATTATTGCAAATATGTTTTCATACAACCTCGGTATGAAACAAATCTATTCCTTCATCAATATTAAGAAAATGAAAGTTTGTGAAATGTTCTGTAAATATCAAATTGGAGAGGAGCTCGCAAGATACGTCACAGTGTTGCCAATTTTTGTTTCACTGATGACAACTTTAAAAATTCATAACTTTCTTATTTTGATTTGTATGTTGCTTAGCTAAACTTTCCAAAATTTGTTTCTCTTGTCTGCTTATATTTAAACCAACTTAATATGAGGGTGGACTTCCCCCTTTAAGTCGAGAGAGAGAAAGTAAATCGGAGAGAATGTGTTTTCGAGTGAGAGAGAGAGAGAGAGAGAGAGAGAAGAGGAAGGGAAGAGTAGACAATGGTCGAAGACGATAAATGATAATTGGGAAGAAAAAGAATAGAAAGGGAAGTAGTTTGTAAGAGAAAAACAGGGGCGGCGGAGCGTCTTCCACAGGTGAGGGCACCAACACAAAGGGCACCTTTTCTGCGAAAAGAGGCACGTACAAAGGGAAACCTCGAAGCGAAATATACAATTTTTAGACATTTGGTAATTACCCCTACATTTTCATGATTGTGATTACATTATCAGGGATGATTCGATTATTTATTTCTCTCTTTACATGCAGCATACTTTGCATTTGGTTGTGATGATCTGAATATTAATTTGCTAGAGAGCAAAAATTGTAATATTCATATTCTATAAAGAAAAAGAAAAAAATCTTATTTTGCAAGACTGAAAAGACCCTTGAAAAGTAACATAATTATATCAAGTTTTGGTAACTCTAAGTTGCTTTAAATTACGGGCGCATACTATTGAGAAAGGAAAGGTGGGCACTTATCAGAAGGAAAAAAGAACACTTATTAGAAAAGAAAAGGAGCACGTGTCAAAGTTAAAAGTGCATTTACCAGATGTGAAAATGGGACACTTCTCGCACCTAAAAAGGGCACTTATGAGAATGGAAAAGGGGCTTTTATCCTGCCACGAAAAAGGGACACCTATCATATTGTAATAAGGCCATTTTTCAGAGGTGAAAAGGGGCATTTATGAAACGGGGAAGGGGCTCCTATAAAAACGAAAATGTCATTTTATCAGAAGGAAAAAGGGCCTTTACTAGAAAGGAAGAGGGGCACGTATCAATGTAAAGAGGGTAGTTATCGAAGGTGAAAAGGGGCTATTTTCGCACTTGTAAATAGGCACTCACCAAAGATAATAGGAACACTTATGATAACTTCAGACTTTAATTAGGGCATTTATGAGAAGGGGAAGGGGCTCTTATAAAATAAATTGGGGGCACTTATCAGAATGAACAGGGGCACTTATCAGAGGTAAAAAGGGGCATTTATTAAAAGGCGAAGGGGCACTTATTTAAAGGAAAAGTGGCACTTGTCAAGGTAAAAGAGGGCTCTTGCCCTACGTAAAAAGCGGCAAAATGGGCTACTTGAACAAGTGGAGGCACTGTGTAATAAAGCTGTGTGACTATTCTTTACCAAAACATAAACTATCCACAATTCGTCGCTGTTTTCACGAAGTGACGGTAGTGAAAAAAAATTGCATTCACTTTGCGTTACGATTTTCCTCGCTACCGTCACTTCGTGAAAACAAGGACGAATTGTCCATCCAGATGCGGCTATCAGACCCCCTCCACCATCTCAACGTGTTTTTTTTAACGAAATAAAAGAACGAGAGAAAGAAAATTGTGCCCCAGTCAGGTCAATAAAGTATACAAGGTTTTAATGAAAAGCGCTTCAAACTAAGATACATATTTGAAAATTGAAATGACACCAAACAGAGTTATCGTAAATCAGGAGCTAAAAAGTCAGACAAATGGTTACAAGATAAATGTTATAAGCACTTTAAATGGTAGAATACCATATTGTACAATCGAGACAACATGTGTTTTGTATTGATAACATATCAAAGGGATAGAATTTGAGATCATGAAAAACTGAGTGTCAAATTTGAAAGAATATACAATTTAAAAGACAAAATATTTTTGTTTGATCAAAATCGGTTCAGAGACGGCTGAAATATCCATAAAGATAACCATTTCTAATATTTGTGGTGCCCCACAAAATATTCGGTAATTTTGAACCAGCCGTTGAAAAACGAAGTAGCGCCTTATACGTTTTATTCCAGCCAATGCCAATATCGGCTTTTTGATGTTTTTTTGTGTTGGTTATAATACGCACAACCAGCCGGCCCGTGTATAGTTATTATTAATTAATTAATTAATTAATTAATTAACGGTCACCGTAATTTTGAAAATTGATCTGAATTGGTATGATCGTATTCAATCTAAATTCACACAATTTGGGGTCTAAAATTACCTTCGCGACAATTTTAGGTTCTAAAAGAGCACTAGAAATGTCACAAATAAGAATAAGAGCAATAATCATGCACTTTCAAGGTATTTGCGGTCTTAAACAAAAACTCAACTATCCCTTTAACATTGTACTTCAATTATACTTGCTCTCACAACTTTATTTTGATGCTCGAATGTATAAAGACACCTCAATCAAGGCACACACATACAAGCATTGTCTTTTCAAGCAGTCCCCCCCTCCCCATTTTTGCCCCCCCAAAAAACACACCCCCCCCCCCCTCAAAAAAAGAGAAAAAAAAGCAGTTAAGGAGTAAAGATGGTTTGTTTTTTTTTAACCCAAAAGAACATAACAATAATAAAAACCTGAATTAAATGACGTATACAATTCCATTTAAAGAAAAGGAAAGTTAACAGGAATTAAATTTCCTAAACATTGGCATGCTACCTATATTTATCAATGGAGGTTTCTATGATAGCGATACGCGCATATCGTGGACATATTGTGAGAGATTGGGAAAGCGTGTCTGTTTTTTGTTGTTATAGGGGTGAGCAGCCCATGAACCCCTGAACGCTGGCGTACTGATGGGGGGTATTTTTAATTCTATACCAGTGATTTACAAATGTTGCTGAAATGACATGATTTTCCGGTATTTTTTCTTTAAAAAATTGTAAGTCATACCTTTTTATGTGTTTGTTGGAAAATTAGAAATCCCCAAATTTACAGACAGGCGAAAAATATGCTTATTTAGAAGCCTTTATGTCAGGGTCTGCAGAACGGCCGGGCTCGGGGGCTCGAGCCCCCCTCACTTTTTGGAAAGTTTGTTACAGAGAAAAAGAACGAAAGAGAGAGAGAGAGAGAGAAAATAAGTGACCTGCCAATGTCACAAATGAGGTATCAAAATATGCTCATCTGACCGTAATTAAATGCCTAAAACCCCAGAGCTTACGGGGGCTCCGCCCCCGGACCCCACCAAGGGCCCTAAGGCTGTCCCCTGTATGCTCATCTGACCGTTATTAAATACCTAAAACCCCCGAGCTTCCGGGGGCTCTGCTCCCTGGACTCTCCGCCAATTAGTGGCCTGCCAGTGTCACAAATAAGGTATCTAAATATGCTTATCTGACCATAATCTTTTTTCCTTTAAACCCCTGACCTTCTGGGGGCTCAGCCCCTCGACCC